TTTTTCTTTTTTATTGCTTAAAGTATTACTAAGGGTATTACATATGTGTCCTTTTTTTCCCCGCCCTTGACAATACCCCGGCTTCCCCTACCCCCCCAGTGTCTTATGTCCATTGGTTTTGCTTATATGCATGCATACAAGTCCTTCGGTTGATCTCTTACTCCCCTTCCTCCTGCCCCCCAACCCTCCCTGGCCTTCCTGCTGCAGTTTGACAATCAGTTTGAGGCAGCTCTGCCTCTGTATCTATTATTTTTCAAAAGTTTATAATGGTCTCTATTATCCATGAATGAGTGAGATCATGTGGTATTTTTCCTTCATTGACTGGCTTATTTCACTTAGCATAATGCTCTCCAGCTCCATCCATGCCGTTGCAAATTGTAAGAGTTCCTTCTTTTTTACAGCAGCATAGTATTCCATCGTGTAGATGTACCACAGTTTTCTAATCCATTCATCTACTGATGGGCACTTAGGCTGTTTCCAGATCTTAGCTATGGTGAATTGTGCTGCTATGAACATATGGGTGCACATATCCTTTCTGATTGGTGTTTCTGGTTTCTTGGGATATATTCCTAGAAGTGGGATCACAGGGTCAAATGGGAGTTCCATGTTTTGTTTTTTGAGGAAACTCCATACTGTCTTCCATAGTGGCTGCACCAGTCTGCATTCCCACCAGCAGTGCACGAGTGTTCCTTTTTCTCCACATCCTCTCCAGCACTTGTCGTTTGTTGATTTGTTGATGATAGCCATTCTGACAGGTGTGAGATGGTACCTCATTGTTGTTTTGATTTGCATCTCTCGGATGATTAGTGACTTTGAGCATGTTTTCATATGTCTCTTGGCTTTCTGAATGTCCTCTTTTGAAAGGTGTCTATTTAGGTCCTTTGCCCATTTTTTGATTGGATTGTTTGCATACAATGTGTTAAGTTGTATGAGTTCCCTATAAATTTTGGAGATTAGGCCCTTATCAGATATGACATTGGCAAATATGTTTTCTCATGCAGTGGGTTTTCTCGTTACTAAAATTTAGAAGACCAATTATATACAATTCTTAAGAAATTTAAACATGGATTTTTTTTTATTTAATAAAAGCTAGTTAGGAAAAATCATCTGATGTTAAACTCAGATTGACCAATCACAATTTTTTTCTCTGAATTTACCTGAGGACTTATTTAAACTTCAGTTTTATGAATAACAAATAATTTTACTTTTATACTTATATATTGCATAGAAAGTAAGCATAGTTTCATATTATTTTTCTAGTTATCATGTAAGCTGTTTTACTCTAAGATAACTAAAAGAAATTAAAATATCTTCTAATTTAAAAATAATTGAGGGTTAGTCACTTGCCTTATTTTATAAAAATTCAATATTTAGCAACTATTTTAACATGATAGAGTGAGAAGTAGTGAATTGGTATATACAGAATGTTAAAAAGTAATATTTTTTATAGGCAGAGCTTCTAGATGCTGCAGCTGGCATTCATATACGGTTCAGATTTGGTGGTGTAAGTATGGATGAATTCTTATTTGTAGTTTTTTTAAAATATATTTTTATTAAGATTTCAGAGAGGAAGGAAGAGGGAGAGAGAGTTAGAAACATCAATGATGAAAGAGAATCACTGATCAGTTGCCTCCTGCACACCCCCCACTGGGGTCGAGCCCGCAACCCAGGCATGCGCTCCTGACCGGAATCGAACCTGGGACCCCTCAGTCCACAGGCCGATGCTCCATCCACTGAGCCAAACTGGCCAGGGCCTTACTTGTAGTTTCAAAGCACATTTATATTTAATTTTAAAGATGTAATTTTTTAAATGTAAACCATTTTGTTATTAGATTACAACGGTCCTTTGTACTTTTCCATCTACAGGCTAAATTTCCACCTGAGATATACTATAAAATTTTTACTGAAAGACACATTGAAGATCTGTGTGCTAATAGCCCTAGAGATTACACAAAACTTTCAGCAAAATATGCATCTCATATTAGAAGTGATAATCTTCAGAAACAGGATTGTAGAGGCTGGTATCGTCGTATAGAGAACAATGGCTGGAGGCTTGTTTCTGATAGAGTAAGAAAAAATAAATATTAATAATTTTGAATGTTTAATATTTATAAACCAATTTATCTTTTTAAAAATTAATTTTAAATTATATTTAAATAGTAAATCCTAGTAATTTAGTTGATAAAAATTGCTTAGTTAACTACTCTGGGGTTACTAATGATACTTCAAGGTATAAAAATATATCTTTTTTTTTACATTTATTTCTACTTTTAGCAGTTTTGATTGAAGCCATCTTTAGGTACTCCCTGGTACTCAGCAGTTTACCATTTTGATATCAAAGCAAATGTGAGGATGTTGACTCTGTATTAATACGTGGACTAGAAATGGGAGTTATTGAGAACAATATAACATTTTCTCTTACAGAGCTTATAATAGCAGAGACTGGTGGAAAATCATTTGAATTTTCATGGTTGGGAAACTTAACATGTATTCACATTAATTGACCACAGTTATTTTAAATATACATAGATCCTAATGCTGTATGTGATTCAGGAACTTTTCTATAGACAACCATGTTTAATCTCTTTTATGGAAATAATTCCTACTTAAGGATATTTGTAAGGTTACATTTTATAGGTTAACACGATCTGGTTCTATAACTCTAGATGTCTGTTTATATTGCTTCAAATATCTTCATCAAATCTTCAGTCCTCAGATGATAGAATGTGGTATGTTGAATATACTAAATATGAGAAGTGAAAATGATCAAGGTATGCATTTATTCAACAAACTTGATTGCATACCAACCATGTGTCAGGCATTGTACCAAATGCTAAGGATATAATAGTAAATAAGAATAGTTGCTCTCCCCAAGCAGTTTGCCTTTTAGTTTGGGAGACATTTAGTAAACAGGATATTTCAATATAATGCAATATATATGTGCTTTAATAGTGGCAAATATAGAATGTTGTGAGGAAGAGCAAACTCTCCTCCTTATTATTTAATGTGTGTGTGGTGGACGAAGGGGGATGAATCAGAAGTAGGAAAATAGACTGCCAGTTAGGATACAGTGTCATACAAGGGAAACCACATACTCTCAGCACATAATGGTGAGACTTCTGTGTTCTTGGAACCTGCCTATATTCCTTAAGGATTAGGGTCTTCAAAAGCCACCAGCACTAAGAATAGGTCAGGTCTGTTCTTGTGAGAAACTAAAACACTTAGAATATGTCTATTCATTCAACAAGTACTTAGTAAGTACCTCAGTATACTAGTACCTGGTCAGTCTTTCTGTGGCATGTGCCTCTAGCAGTGATTCTCAACCTTCCTAGTGCCGCGACCCTTTAATACAGTTCCTCATGTTGTGGTGACCCCCAATTTCATTGTTACAAATTGAACATAATTAAAGCATAGTGGTTAATCACAAAAACAATATGTAATTATATATGTGTTTTCCGGTCTTAGGCAACCCCTATGAAAGGGTCTCGACCCACAGGTTGAGAACTGCTGCTCCCTGTGCTATTCACCCATCACTAAATTAGAAATACCTTTCAAGGGTTTATCTTACCCTCTATTTCTACCTTGGCATATTCGTATTGAGCACTCAGAAGTTATTGTGTACAGTCAGATAACCTCACAATCAGTATTTCAACATTTTGTATATTCTTGTTTTATTTCTCAATAGTTTTGGGTGTCTACTGAAAATGCAATTGGAGACAAAAAGGAAACCAAATTTCATTTCTCTAAACTGAAAAGAAGACAAGATATAGAAAAAAAGAGAAAAATTAGAAAAATAGAATGGATGAGGCAAATGTAAGTTGATGAAAGACTTACTAAAAAGTATATAGTATTTTAAGGTTTTAATTTTTTGCTATTATTACTAAAATAACTATGTTATATATTTATTTTTCAATATGATAGAAAGCTTTATTTCCATGGAATTACACCACTGGGTTTCCAAAGTCCTATTTCCCTACAGAGGAAGTGTAGCTGGGATTTCTTTCTTATTTTAAAAAAAATGTTTTTTATTGATTTTTTTAGAGAGAAGGGAGAGGAAGAGAGAGATAGAGACATCGATAGATTACCTCCTGCGCATTCCCCATGGGGATCGAGCCTGCAACCTGGGCTTGTGCCCCTACTGGAATCAAACTGGCGACCTCTTGGTGCATGGGATGATGCTCTACCAATTGAGCCACACCAGCCGGGTTGGGGTTTCAATAGAGCTAGAAGCAAAACCAGTGTCTAGAGTTTCCTTTCCATGTTGGAGCCAGTCCAATCCAGCATCAGGCTAGCTGCAGTCCATTAATGGGGGTTGGGGAGAGTGTCATTCATGCACCAGGCCTTTGGTTTAAAGTAGTAAAGGGATGCCCTGGCCAGTGTGGCTCCGTTGGTTGGAACATCATCCCTTACACTGAAAAGTTCCCAGTCAGGACCCATACCTGGGTTGTGGGTTTGGTCCCAGTTGGGGATGTGTGGGAGGCAGCCGATTGATGTTTTTCTTTCTCTCCCTTCCTCTCTAGAAAGTCAAATAAAAATAATAATAATTAAAAGGAAGAAGATGGATCTAATCTTAAGTGTCTGGACATATGAGAAGTTAAAACATGGAGAAACTCATAAAAAATCCATTCACCCCCAGCCTTCCAGAAGTTTCTGATTTCTAAATGCATTTTTGTTGTGGCATGAGTATTAGTTAATAAATATGGACCAGTTGGTACCATCATTTAATTATTTTTTCATTTAATCAATGTCTACTAAGTGCCTTTTATGTTCAGGGAAGAGATTATAGAATTGAAAGATTGCAAGTTCCATGAGGGAATTTCAGTTTTGAACAGATTGCTTTACAAATGGTCGACAATAACTATTAAATGAATAAGCAAATGAAGAACTCTAGAAAAATGATGAAATCATACTTTCTTAAATTTGTGCTCTAGCTAACCAACTTAAATCAAGAGGCATGTTTCTGCTTCTATAAAATGCATTAGCTTTCATAGATCATTATCCATTTAAAGTCTGACAAAGCAAAAACTTCATGAGGTCAGGGGTATATCTTCTCACTGTCACATCTGTTGCCATCCAGGATTGTGTAAGCCTTCTTTTATTGAATACTTACTATGTGCCAGCGGTTGTATAAATGTTTTATAGGGATTTACACTTCCAATGTAGATCTTAAAATGAAAAACAATAAAAATGTTATATTCTAGTAATCTTAGTAAGGACAACTTCTGTGTATTCACTCAGCTCATGTTTGTGGGATGCATTAATTTATGTGCTCAGACTAATATAAGAGAACAGTACTTTATTTTTAAAAAATCGTTATTGTTGAGATTATTACAGATGTCCCTCTTTTCCCCCCCATTGTCCCCCTCCACCCAGTTCCTGCCCCACCCCTGGCCTTCGCCATCCTATTGTCTATGTCCACAGGTAATGCATATATGCATACCAGATCTTTGTTTAATCTCTTCCTGCTCCCTTACCCCCTTTCCCTCTGAGAATCGTCAGGCTGCTCCATTTCCAGGCCTCTGATTCTATTTTATTCACCAGTTTATTCTAATCATTAGATTTATTATTCGTTTATTTTGACATTTAGATTCAATTCTTGATAGGTATGTATTTGTTGCCATTTTGTTGTTCATATTTGTGACCTTTTTCTTCTTCCTCTTCTTAAAGAATATCCTTCAACATTTCATATAATACTGGTTTGGTGGTGATGAACTCCTTTAGCTTTTTCTTATCTGTGAAGCTCTTTATCTGATCTTCAATTCTAAATTATAGCTTTGCTGGGTAGAGTAATCTTGGTTGTAGGTCCTTGCAATTCATCACTTGAATACTTCTTGCCACTCCATTCTGGCCTGCATAGTTTCTGTTGAGAAATCAGCTGATAGTCATATGGGCATTCCCTTATAGGAAACTAACTGCTTTTCTCTTGCTGCTTTTAATATTTTCTCTCTTTAGCCCTTGGCATTTTAATTATGATGTGT